GTCGGGGTGGTCTGGGGGGCATGGTATTCGGAGAGTGAGCAGAAATTTAACGGAATGAAGGAGCAAGTCATGCAGAGCAATGGAGGCAGAGCACCTGGGCAGGAGGAGGAGCAAGTACAAAAAAAGCTCTAAGAAGAGAGTGGGTTTGGCAAGACCATGGAGGCTGGAGTCAAAGGAGCAAATGTCAGAGAGCACCGAGGTAGCCAGGACCCATGTCTTGGAGGCCTCACAGACCAAAATGTGGGCTTATGTTATTCTGAGCATGATGCAAAGCCATTGAAAGCTTGTATTTTTACAGGATGGCTGTGACTGAGGGGGTAAGAAAGGAAGCAGGAGTCAGATGGTTACTGCACTGTCCAGGTGAGAGATGATGGATCCCTGGGCCAGGGGAGCAGCACAGGTAACAGGATACAAAGCATTTCTTGGTGGACTGGACCTGAGGTTTACCAAAAAGAGAGGAACCAGGATGATCTCCAGATTTTTGGTCTGAGCCACTGGGGTGTCATTTCCCCAGACAGTGAAGACTAGAGTAGAAGCTGGTCTGGGGATGGAGTCCAAGGCATTTTAAGTGGGAGCTGTCTGACAGACTGCTCAGGGGAAACGTTGAACAGGTACTTGGAGACAGAGTCTGGAGTTCAGGGAACAGGTTGGGACTGGAATTACAAATTAGGAGTCAGCAGTGTATAGATGGTGTGTAAAGCCATGAGACTGGATGAAATACTGTGGAGAGTAAATGCAAAAAGAAAAGGCCCAGGTCTGAGTCCTAGGGCTTTCCAATGTCTAGAGGTTGGGGTGATGAGGAGGACCCAAAGGAGGAGACGGAGAAGAAGCACCTGGTGAGGAAGGAAGCGACCAGGCGGATACTGTGTGTCCCCAGCCAAGTGCAGAGAATGCATCATGAAAAAGGAAGTGATCAGTGTGTCAAATGCTGAGAGGATGAAGAAGATGGAGAGGTGAGAATGATCACTGGATCTGCCAGCATGGTGCTCAGTGGGGTGGCTGGGAGAAAAGCCCAGCTGGGAAGCACTCAAGGGAGTGAGAGGCAAGAAGACAAGATAAACACAGACAACTCTTCCAAGAAATTCTGCTGTGAAGCGATGCTGAGAAGTGGGGGTGAAAGCTAGGGGCAGAGCAGCAGGGTGAATACGAACTTATTCGAATAGCTATGGGATTATTTCCTAAAAATTAGAAATCGATTCAGTTGCTACCTCACATTCGTAAAACACTTTGATTTAAAAAAATCTTTCACATATATGGCTCATATAGTCCACACAAATGATATGTTTTTAGATAAGGGAAACATTCAGAGAGGTAAAGTTACCTGCTTAAGCTGTAGAGAGTCGGACAGGTAAGCCAGGCCCTCCAGCACCGAGCTAGAATGGATGCCATGAAAAGAGGGGTTTACAGTTGGGTGGAATGAAATGCTGCAGGCAACAAACTTCATAAAGGGCTGCATTAAACGCAGTGGTTCTTTTCCACATCCCATATTACTAAATCTTCCCAGGGAGGGTATCGTTTCTCACAAGTACTTTTTTTTGTAATGCAAAGTATATTGGAGAATCTCACCTTTTCAGCAAAGATGGGGTTTCCTGACAAGTAGCTCAAGTGTATAAACTCCAAATGCAGAGTTCCAAATTCTGCCAAAATGCTGCTGCCTCCCGAGGCCCAGGGCCAGTTCCTTCCAATCCCACTGAGGAAGGGAAGAGAGTGAAGGGTTACGGGTCAGACTGATTCCATTTTTTGGATCTCTAAACAGCACAAGTCAAAGAGACAGCTTTTGAATAATGGCATCTAGCTTATTGCACACTCCATATATTTTAAAATATCCAGTACTGTTTTCCTTGGCTACTGGTTTCAGGCTTTGACTCCTGCACCAAATTGAAAATGACTTTTGACTTAAGTCAGAAAGAAGTTGTTATGTATTTGTCGTTGATGAACAGATATTAGAAGGTACAGGTGCCACATAGACATGTACAACCATTCCAAGTAGAATATAAAACAAAATCAGAGCCCAACACTCCCACCATGCTCCAAATCCCATATAAAGCCTTTCAACATTTTAATTAATTTCAGCTCGAGAGGTTATGGACTTTTATAGATACTCTGATTATATACAACATTTTTCTTGGCTATATTTCAAAGATTTACTAGTTACATACTCACTCCACTCTGCTTCAAACCTTCCCCGCATTTACTAGACTTCCTTTCTTATGTTTCCCTTCACACAATTTTACTTGTTTTCTAAGGCACTCATGTACCCTGTGACCTATTTAATCTATGCTCAAGGATTTCAAAAAATTATGTAATTCAAATCTCAAAGAGACATAAGTTAAAAAATTACTGCCTTGTGGCCCATCCCAGTGAAATGCTTTTAAAAAAGAGTTAGTCCTAAACACACTCAGGCACAAAGACACATAAAGTGGCTTTGGAGACATGGTCATACCCTTGAGTACAGTTTATTGTGGAGAGCTACTTAAAATGTCAAACATAGGTGATAATTCAAATACAGAATAAAGTCAATGATACTCCTGACCAATAAATTCCCTTCAAGAAAGCTGAAAACCCACATCTTGGTTTTCATTCAGACTCACATTTATTGTATGCCTACTATTTGCCAGGGACTTATGTAGGGCAGTGGATTACAAGGATTCTTATAATGAATAAATTGCTCTTTACTTAAAAGACCTTCTGGCATAATGGGAGAGAAAGACCTAAGCATAAACAATTCCAATCACATATAGTAAGTGCCAAGTTAAATGTGTTAAGTGTTCTCTGAGCACCTAGAGCCAGGACATGCAAGCCAACATGGTAGGGATCACAGAAGGCTTCTTCAAGGAGAGTCCTGAGTTGATTCTTGCAGGGTAAGTAAGAAGTAGTGAAGGAAGAATGGAGAGAGGGAGAATCTGGACACGGGGAGACACACAGCAGAAGGGCTAGCCAGGAGCTGGGGGTAACTCCTGATACTGGTGAGTGGAGGGAAGGAACAGGTAGCAGGAGAGAAGGCTGCAGGTTAAGCTGAAGCCAAACTCAGAGGCTTGTGAATTTCTCACTTTCTTCTTTCTAAGTTGGTCCTACTGACATACTGCTGTTGGTGTCCCCTGTCCCCCAGGTTTTCTACCTCTTTGTTTTTGCCTTATGTCATTCACAACTTCAGGTAAAAGCTTCTAGTTCTGTCACTGCTTCTGCCGCAGGGCTGCTGAGGACACTGATGAAAAAGAGAACATTGATGACAACTGGTATCTGACAGTCCAGACTGCCTTCCTCTCAGTCCCTGATTCTTTTTAGAGCAGAATCTAAATTTCGTTCCCAAACATAGATTTATAGTAAACCTAATCAAAAGTAAACAGAAATAAAAGACAGAGATCTGAAAACCACATATGCATTTATTTTAGAAACTGTCTTACATTTATTAACTTCTGGGAATGAGAGTCAGTTTTATTTTCACGGTTGGCTTAGATAAAAGGACTAGCCAATCATCCAAATAGGATGAACAGCTACTTTCAAATTGTATTAACATATGGCAAACGCACATAGTAATTGGTCATTAATTTGCTGTCATGACATATTATTATTTTATTCCAACTATTCCATCACTGACCAAAGTCAATAAACCTATTAAGCAAAACTACAGATTCCCATGTTCTAGAGAAACTATAAAAAACAAAGCCACAATATCAGGGCAAGAGGGATGATGACTTCATCTTGGAGAAGGGAGAGGACATCACGCCAAGGAATACAGCCCAGTTTCCAGATCTTCAGAGGCTGTTTTTTTTTTTTTTCAGATCAGGATATTAGAGGGTGTGGTGGCACACTCAGATGCGAAACTTAAGCAGTAGATGTACTAAATAAAATACAAATTACTTTTGTATCCAGGCATCTGTTCTCTGCTATTAATGTGGTCAATCAGGAAAAAAAAAAAACTAGAGATATACAGAAAACTTTTCAATATGTTAAAAATGAAGATTTAAAAAGGATTTATATATATATATATATATATGTATACATATATTCATTCTCTTTTTCTTGTCTTTGCACAAATTCCTATGAGAAGAAAAACAGCACTCTATCACTATACAGGGAGCAAAACACTAAAGGCACTAGCAAAGGATACATCATGTGAACAAAAAGGAAGCTGGGTTTAGAACACATGTATGTTTCTATGAAACGATGGCTTTGGTTACCATTCTTTGAGCCAACAGAATTAATGTATTCTGGTAAAATTATAAGATCAACAGTTCTGCTAGCTCTTAAATGTAAGTCAGGCAAGGGTTTCAGGAAATCAGGTAGGGCATCATTTTATCTAGATATTAAAGAAGGTCACCTGCCTCTTCTTAGGCAAAGCTTCAAAGACATGGAAATTGGCCTGGAGAGCACGGGGCACATGCCATGGCCATCACAGCTGAAGTACGTGTGTGTCGGGGAAAGGGCTGTCTCCTTGCACAGCAAATGTGCACTGAGTCAGAACCAAGTTTTGCTCACTTACAGGATGCTTTCTAAGACCTTTTTTTTGTTTCTAAATTCTGTGAGTCTACTGAGAAATCTACATATTTATATGGTTCTAATTTTTAAAATAATATATAAGGACAGTGGGCATTTGACACCAAAACGGTGGATTTGTGATATAAGGACATGAGTCCAGAAAGATTCTGCTCCCTTGGTCTGGGAGTCAGACCAAGGCATCCTGGGCATCCATCCCATGATACCAAAGGCTAAGCTTTCTAGACCTCTGGCTCAAAACAAATTTCACCTGAGAGAGCAGAGAATTTAAAATGTCTTTAACTTTAGTTCTGTTATTACAGCATTTAAAGGCAATCATGATGTTCTTTATCTGTTTTAAAATATCATTATTTTATAAGCACTAATAATATTTTAGAGAAATATTTTAAAGATAAGATAACAGTTTGTGTTCAGAAACTATAAGTTCCATAAGGCAGGCATGAAAGGGGAGAATATTTAAATACTGCCAATCTTGTTATAATGACTACATTTTAAGCCAAAATGATGACTCAGCATATGGAAATGTATACACAAAAATGCAATTAACATGATTTGGGGAGCTGCCAAGTGTTTGGTTCAAAGAATCCTGGAATAGAGCTTCAAACTTTGGTATCATTCTGATTTCATTTATTTCTGTTTCCTTTAATCTCCAGTTCTTCCATTTTAAACTGGAGTATTGTTTAATATATAAGCCTCAACTTAAAATTTAATGTAAAACTTCAGTATTCTAGAAAGGCAATAATTCTTTGAACATAAAACATCACATTAGAAAATAAATGATTATGGCAACTGCAATTAGAAACATGTCTTTTAGAAAATTGAGTTGCTATGATTCTTTTGAAAATGTGGAATACTATTTTGTTGCTTTCGCGAATGTAATTTGAATGTGGTTTATTAGCACTGGGAATATACTTCCTCATTCTACTGCACTCAAAAGCAACAAGGTCTAATTATTTACTGAACTCATAACTCTGATAAGCAATGGATGTTACATGTTTTCCTTCTCTCTCCTGGGAATGGTTAATAGCGCCAGAGAAGGAAAGTACAGTGCTAATGATGCTATTCTACCCACGTCTGAATCCCATGGGAGATTTTGCTAGAGCTTATAATGAATCACGTAGCTGGAGGGCTGTTCTGGACTGATGGTATATCCCCTCAAAATAATATGAAATCTAGGTACCTAAAGTTATATGTCATAGTTACTTCCCATATACAATTTGGAACATTAACAAATAAAGAATTTATAGAACAACTGAAACAACTCTAAAAAATTGCCAGGTGAATATATAAACAAAACATTAAATAGTTGTAAAGTCTTGATAAGCTATAGACTTTCAATTTACTCTTTCTTGCTGCTTGTTCTTCCATGCAAAATGGGAAATGGGCCAATAAAGTAATTTCTTGAAGATTCTTGCCTGAATAATTTCTGATTAGCTGATCAGTAAACAAACTCCCTTCCAGTTCAAAGTCCAGAATACAGATTATTCCTTAGGGCTATGGAGTTAACAAATTTTGGAAGAAAAAAATTCCTCACATTCCATACATCATGAAGCTCTACTTATATTCACAAATGAAGGGGCACACAGGGATACTTAATTCAAAAGAGCAGATAATCCAAAAATAATTCCTTTTGGATTTTAGCACAAATTAGGAAAAACATAATTGGAAAGTTCACGATGATTTTTTCCTTTAACTGTACTCCAAAGCTAATTGATTTTGAGGTTAAACAATTTCAGCTTCACTTATTACAAATGCTTCCTTCCTGAAGAGGTTTGCACAGTGCTGATCTCTCATGTTTGTAATCTAAGACCTCATTAAGACTTGGACTAACAATTCCAAGGACTGGCATTCTATGACTGGTCAAGATTCTACAGGGAGGTCATGCACTGAAATTTAGACTGGGGAGAACTACTCCCCTGAGGGCTATCTCACTGGGTAAAGCTGGCTAATAATGGGGATTTGACTGAATTAATTCGTAATCCAATAGTTACTGCTTCTGAACAGCAACATGTGGATTATATCTCCAAAGAATTTTCACATTTAAATTTTTTAACCAAGGGCCCAAATAATGTTTCAAAATTATCCATATCTTGCTTCATTTTGTGGGTATTTACACAGAATTGAAATTGAGTATTTATTATTTTAGTTTATTCTCATATTCATTACTGCTGTCCTTGTATTTGGCTTTCTTGA